AAAAAAAAAAAAAAAAAAAGGGAAAGAGGGGGAAGGAGAGAAGGAGATGGAAAGAAAAAAAAAAAAAAAAAAAGGGAAAGAGGGGGAAGGAGAGAAGGAGATGGAAAGGGTGAGGGCTATATGAGTATACACACACACACACCATCCTTCTTTAAGCAGAACAAGGTAATAACCCAGGCTCCAGACCCTATAGTCAAATGCCTGGTTTAAATTCTACCTTATCAGCATTCGAGCTGTTTAACTTGGTGTTAGTGGCTGAGTCTCTCTATACGTTCATCTGTGAAACAGGGCAATAACAAAAGCACCTTAGCAAGTGTTAAATTAGTTACTAAATATGAAGCATTTAGGGAAAGGCTTCTGCCACATACCATCTTATTGCCGCTGTAACAAATCATCACAAACTTATGTAATGGCTCAATGTAAAACAAGACAAATTTGTTCTCCACATTTCTGGAGGTCAGAGGTACAAAGTAAGTTCCACTAAGCTCAACCCATGCTGTGTCCGTGGGGAAGTTGCTCTTCCAGGTTCCAGGGGAGAATCTATTATTTGCCTTAAATCTCTGAGGGCGGCAGCATTCCTTGACTTCTGGCCCCATCACTCCAACCTCCACTTCCATCATCAGACTGCCTTCTCCCCTTCTGGCTTTCTCACATCCTTCTTAGAAAGACTTCATAATTATATTTTGAGCCCCTTAGATAATCTAGAACAATCTCCCCATCTCAAAAAAATCCTAAATTAAGCCAAGTACCAGTGGTTCACACTTGTAATCCAAACTAATCAGGAGGCTAAGATCTGGGGATCACAGTTAAAAGCCAACATAGTAGAAAAATCCATGAGACTCTTTTCTCCAATTTACCAGCAAAAGCCAGAAGCAGGGTGTGTGGCTCAAATGGTAAAGTGACATCCTTAAGCCAAAAAAAAAGCCAAGCAAGAGTTCGAGGCCCTGAGTTTAAGCTACAATACCAACACACACACACACACATACACACACACATGCATGCACGCAAGCATGCACGCACACGCACACAACCGTAACAGAATCCCACGTACACCATGGCTTCTGCATTACAAGGCAGATTCTAGGAGCAGATATCTGAGGATATTGCATATGGTAAGCAATAAATAAAGGTTAACTACTCTTAATATCATTATCACCATTACAATTCCCATGGCATTCCCAGAGTGTGCCCTCAGCCTCTTCCCAAGCCTGGGGGAGGAGGGACAGGGATGGGGAACTGTGCTGGTTGATCCCAGAGTCTCAAGCACCAGTTGGACTTGCTTGGGGCCAGGTACAGAAAGCAGACGAACAGGAACATGCTCGCAGACATTGTCCAGGTCCAGGAGAAAGGCTGTAAGCAGAGGCTAGGGCCACCTGACGCTGCTGTATTCTGTGGTCGTCTCGGGGCCAGTGCCAGGAATATGGGTGTTGCTGTAGGTTGGCTCCTGATGCAAAGCGTCCGAAGACAGAGAGGCGTAAGAAACCTCCGTCTTGGGAAGGGGAGCCTGTGAGAGAGACAGTCATGGCATCAGAGCAGCTGGAGGGAGGCTGTGGCTGTACAAGAGTCCTGGGTGGAGGCAGGTGGGACTGGAGACTTCTGAGCCCTCCGGCTGCCTTCCCTCCACTCCAGGCCCCTCTGGCTGCCTCCCTTCCATTCCAGACCCCTCCGGCTGCCTTCCCTCCGCTCTGCCAGCCTCCCCTCGCCAGCATCAGGCCCAGCACAAAGCTTGGGTTGCCTCTGCCTGAAGACAACCATCTTGGCGGGATCCCCAGCCCCACTCAGCTCGGCTGCATTTTCTTTTCCCCCCTTCTCAGTTCCATACAAGACCCCATTAGGTGGGTGATCCTGACTCCCCAGCGTTGAGAGGTGGCATGGAGAAACCTCTGGAACCTTTGTGAGGCTCCTTGGGCAAGTTTTGCAATCACTGTGGCTCTGCCCAGGGCCCACGCTCCTTCAGCTGGGCCCCAGGGGCAGGAAGCCCATCCTCAAAGCAGGGCCAGCAGCATGTCTGCCCTCCTGGGTCCCCAGCAGCCCCCACGAAGGACACACCATGGTGACATATTCCACTTCCTCCTGGCCAGCGGAAGAAGGCTTGATGGAGGCCTTGTGCTGGGACGAACTGGAGGAGGCTCCTGGCTGGTGCAGGGACAGGTTTGCGTAGCAGAGTTCATCTTCCTGAGGCTGCAAAGGGGGGGTGCAGGCTGGGGGTGACCGCATCAGCCTGTGGGTCCAGGTTCTCCTTCCAGGGAGAGACAGGAGCCTCTCTGCTTCCCTGTGACCCCAGCTCTAGTCCTCCCTCCCCCCTCCCAATACCTGGGCCTCCTTCTCTCAGGCTGCTTCTAGGCCCTCCTTCCTCCCAGACTCTACAGAGGCTACAAGTTCAGGGGCTGGGAATGTGGCTTAGTGGTAGGGTGCTTGCCTGGCATACATGAGGCCCTGGGTTTGATTCCTTGGTACCACATAAACAAACAAATTAAAGAGTTCAGGGACAGTACCAGGCCCTGAGTTCAAGCCCCACAACAACCAAAAAAGAAAGCCATGAATTCATAGATCACTTTGGCTCCTAGTGATAGGACATTCAGGCACTGGGGGCCTGGGAGGTAGAAGTCAAGGGAGAGGGAGAGGAGCCGAGGCCGTGCGCTCTCTCTGGTTCCATCCTGGGCCTCTTTTACCTTCTCCGCGGATGGCTCGGCCGCTGAAAGACAGAAGCAATGGAGAGTTAGGCAGCCCGTCCTAGGACTGGCAGAGAGGTCCTCACATACAACCGGGTGAACATGAGTGCCAGACTCCAAGTCACACGACCCGGCTCTAATTCTGAGCCCTCCTAGGACTCATTCCATGACATCCCTTGTGTCATTTCTCTGAGCTGCCGTTTTCTCTCCCTGAAAAAAAGGGGAGACCTCAGCCTACCGCATCCCCACTTCACAGAGCTCAGCTGTGCCTCCGTGTTTCCCCAGAGGTCATCTCAAGGTCATGCCTGCAGTCTACAGCCACCAGGTTGTCCGATCTCTCCTCCCGTGACACATGCTTTTGTCTGACCCCTTGGCTTTAGTTCCCTGGGATCTATCATCTTCAGCAGGGCTTGGCTGGTCCCGAGCCTTGCTTGCATCTGGATGCTTGGCCCTGCCTGACAGTCAGAAGCAGTTTGTCCCTTAGCATAAAAGCTAAGGGAAAGCACCCAGGCCTGAGCTCAAGCCCCAGGATTGGCACACACATACACACAGAGTCAGATACAAGCTGGGCATGGCGGTGGGTCCCTATAATCCCAGCACCTGAGAGGTTGAGGCAAAAGGATTGGGAGTTCAAAATCAGGCTGGGCTACCTAGTGAGTTCAAGACCAGCCTAGGTGTCAGGCTCCCTCCTCTCCGCCCAGACTGAAAGACTCCAGCGGTTATGAGAGAAGTCTTGGTAAGAGCTCAGGTCCTAGGCATTCTGAGAAGAGAAAGGGCACAGCTCCATGAGAATGTGGAAGTGAAGCCAGACAGGAAAAGGGCTTGCGAAAGCCAGATCTCCTGATCTCTGGCCCAAAGCTCTGAGCGAGTTTGCTCTTCCTTGAAAAGCAATGTCAGAAGGTACAAGTAGATTCACCTGGGAAAAAGGGCTGGTGACCTGGGAAGGGTGTCAGAAAGGGTCTCACGCCCTGACTGATGAGGCCTAGAGGCTTGTGTCATGTGTACACGAATGCATCATGTGAGCTTGCATGTGTGCATACCGTGTACATAGTGTGGGGCTCACCCACCAGCCCAGACCACCCCTACCCCGGCCCCTGGCCCAGCCCCCTGGACCACCCTCTACTGGTGACTTGTGGAATGGCACTCTTTCCAAGGTAAGTCCTTGGGCCTGTTAATGCGTGATCAGCCCCGCTTCTCCTCCCACCCAGCCAGCCAGGTCCTCTCACCTTTCTTCTGTCGCTTCATTTTCATCCAAGCCAAGACTGAGGCTGCCACCAAGAGAAGCAGCAAGGCAGCAAAGATGACTGGGAGAAGGATGCTGACTTCTATGACGCTATGCCTAGGAAGGACAGAGGAGGCCCTGTGCACCAGGCACTCCTTCTGCTGCAAGCCCGAGCAGGCCCCCCAGAGCCCTCGCACTGTTGGCTACAGCTGGGGAATCTTTGTTCCTGGACACTCTCAAAGAGAGGGTTTTGAAAATAGGAGAGGAAGGTTCCCGAAGGAAATTCCCATGTATCTGGAAGCCTAACAGAAATTTTATGATGAACAGGATCCTAACAGGTTTCCACCCCCCCCTCTTTTTGCCAGTCCTGGGGCTTGAACTCAGGGCCTGGGCACTGTCCCTGAGCTTCTTTTGCTCAACGTTAGCACTCTACCTTGAGTCACAGCACCACTTCTGGCTTTTGCTGTGTATGTGATACTGAGGAATCGAACCCAGGGCTTCATACATGCTAGGCAAGCGCTCTACCACCAAGCCACCTTCCCACCTGGGTACCAATGCACGTGACTATAATCCTAGCTGCTCAAGAGGCTGAGATCTGAAGGTCATGGCTAAAAGTCAATCCAGGAAGGGAAGTCCCTGAGACTCATATCCAATACACCACCAAAATCCCAAAGTGGAGTTGTAGTTCAAGTGGTAGAGTACCAGCCTTGAACAGAAAAATCAAGCAAGCCCCAAAAAATCAGTTCAAGCCCCAATCTAAGCATGTAAGGTAGATAGGTGATAGATAGATAGACAGACAGACAGATGGATAGATAGTAAACCCCATATTTCAAGTCTAACCAGAGCCTGTGAAGGTGACCTATTAAGAAAAAGAAATGGCCTTTGTAGATGCCACTGAGTTTAGACAAAGTCCCAATCCAATGCCTGTTGCCCTTGTAAGGGAGAAATTTGGACATACAGATGACACAGGAAGATGCCACATGCTGATGGGGCAGACAGTGAAGTAACGCAGCTAGCGGGAATCATTGGTGCTACCAGACACTAGAAGGAAGGTAGAAAAGGCAAGCCAGACATGGTTGCTAACACCTGTAATCTCAGAACACCTGTAGTCCCAGAAAATTGGGAGTTCCAGGACAGCCTGAGCTACTAGTGAGACTGAGTCTAAAACAACAACAACAAATCATCACTGGGCAGCTTCTCCCTCCATTACTTCAGAATATAAGTGGGGCCCAGTCTTTAAAGAGGTAATTAGGCTGAAATGGGTCATTAAGGAAGAGCCAATCCAGTGTAACTGGTGTCCTTATAAGAAGAAATTACAGCGCAGACAGGTACAAAGGGAACTATATGCAGCTTCCCAAAGGATGATCTCAACACATGTAAGCCAGCACTGCTGACTCATGGCCACCAGAATTGTGGGAAGGTAAATTTCTATTGTTTGTGACACCCAGACTGGCCTGGTGGCCAATGGCTCACAACTGTAATCTTAGCTACTCAGAAGGTTGAGCTCTAGAGGAGTGCAGTCTGAGGCCAGCTTGCTATACTCTATCTCCAATTTTACCAGCAATAATCAGAGCTGGACCTGGGTGTCAGTGGCTCATATCTGTAATTCTAGCTACTCAGGAGGCTGAGATCTGAGGATAAAGGTTCGAAGCCAGACCAGACCAGAAAGTCTATGAGACTCTTATCTTCACTTAATGAGCCAAAAGCTGACAGTGGAACTGTGGCTCAAGTTGTTGAGTCCCAGCCTTGAGCAAAAACAGCTAAGAGAATGTTGGGTGCTGGTGGCTCACACCTGTAATCCTAGCTACTCAGGAGGCTGAGATCTGAGGATCATGATTCAAAGCCAGCCCAGGCAGGAAAGTCAAAAAAAAAGAAAGAAAGAAAGAAAGAAAAGCAGAGCTGGAGGTATGGTATAGCTCAAGTAGTAGAGTAGCCCAGTAAGGGTGAGGTCATGAGTTCAAACCCCACAAAAATAACACAAGCAAAAATAAAGGAAAATGAGAGAGAAAAAGGGGAAGTGGACCTTTGCTGATTGAAAGATTAAGGCTTGCCAGTATAGTTTTTATGCCATGGTTTCATCAGCAGAGTGTCTTGGCAGAGTCAAGGAAAGCAAAGAGAGGAAGTAAAAGGGCCTCTACACCTCAAGAAAGCCCTTTGGTTGCAGATGCTGGGCTGGGTGCTCAGAAGCATGACTTGAGCGCTGCTTTTGGAGACCATACACTTCCCACTCAGCTCCAGGGCCAGCCCTCGCTGAGGAAGGCAACGATGCTCACTTTTGACACCAACATGGGAACATGTCTGCGCCCGTTCCTCCTTGTGAGGGGCCACAGGCAGGCTCGAAGAACAGACCATCTTCTCATGAGCTGCCAGGGCCACCTGAGATTTAAGGAACTGCCACCACCGCAGTTCTCACCATACACCATAACAGAAATTCAAGGAATAGGCCCGGCACCAGTGGCTCATGTCTGTAATCCTAGTTCCTCAGGAAGCTGAGATCTGAGGATTGTGGTTCAAAGCCAGCCCAGGAAGAAAAGTCTGTGAGACTCTTATTTCCAATAAACCAGGAAAGTGAAAGTGGCCTTGTAGCTCAAGTGGTAAAGCGCTAGTCTCAAGTAAAAGAAGCTCAGGGCCCAGGCCCAGAGTTCTAGCTCCATGACCAACTCCCCAAAAAGGAAATTCAAGGAAAAGAGACTTCCTCAAACCTCACTCCCAGAAATTGGGGCATGAGCCAGGCACCAGTGGGTTATGCCCACATCCTAGCTACTCAGGAGGCTGACATCTGAGGATCCTAGTTTGAAGAAAACTTAGGCAGGAAAGTCCAAGAGGGGAAGTGGAAGGGCTGCTCCAGTAGGAGGCGGTGCTCTGGAGATGAAAAAGCCAAGAAAGAGCCCAAGGCCTTGAGTTCAAGCTCCAGTACCAGCACAAGGAAGAAAGAAGAAGAAGAAAGAAGGAGAAGAAAGGAAGGAAAGAAGGAAGGAAGCAAGGAAGGAAGCAAGGAAGGAAGGAAAGGAAGAAGGAAAGAAGGAAGGAAGGAAGGAAGGAAGGAGGGAAGGAAGGAAGGAAGGAAGGAAGGAAGGAAGGAAGGAAGGAAGGAAGGAAGGAAGTTGTTAGGCCACAGCCTACACCCATGTACACCGCAGCCACACTGTCCTCGATGAGTGCCTACCCGTTGCTCTCCACTTCTATCTTCCATATATGCCATAAAGAAGTTAGATCTGGGGCTGGGAAGGTGGCTCAGTGGTAGAGCGCTTGCCTTGCATGCCTGAGGCCCTGGGTTCGATTCCTCAGCACCACATAAGCAGAAAAAG